CTATCTTGTTTCTCTCCGTTGTTTCTCTCCATTGCAGATCTAACATTTTGTTACTCACGTTGTTTTTAAACGCCCAGATTTGTCAGAATCTTGAATTTGATGTTTTTACACCATTACATTGAAACCCTTTACAGGCAGTATACGAGTAAAAATTATGTTCCCTTTTAATCTTGTTAAGAAATAACAAAATGACGTAATCAAAAACTGCGCTCTTTTAAGTTAAGGCGTAATGTCAACAAAACTGATTTCCGGCTAAGGGCAGGACGGTTTTGTTGTGAGCTAAAAAATCAAACTTTCTATCACAACCAAAACATTTCATCTGTATGGTAGTATTTTCATCAGGTACATGGTAGACTATTTTACCCTAGGTACTTAATAGGGTAGTGAATGTAGTTCACAATTAATGAGACTATCAATTGTAGAAACAGAAATTAAAGACAGACTAGTCTAGAGTGGTCCAGATTCGTCTAGATCTAGAATCTAGCTCAGAATCAGAATTCTTCACATTTTAGAAGTACTGAACCCCACCCGTTTCGTATGCGAATTCACTGAAACCTTTTAAATAGTTCTATCGTCCGCACTGATAAAATCCGATAGTGAATTATTGAAGTCCGGTGTATGTCTCGACATCCGCCGAGCCCCTGAGACTGGCTCACCGAACCCCTGAGACTGACTCACCGAACCCCTGCGGTTCGATCGAACCCAGGTTAAGAACCACTGGTCTAGCTAGATTCTGTAGATCCACGTAGATCAAGATCTAGGTCTAGGTATTATTTACTTACTAGATCTAGCAGTTAGATGTCTAAATCTAATGAAATGTAACCTACGTATTATTAACTAACTAGAGTATCATGATCTATGTTGTATACCGACTAGTATGGTGAAGATTCTTGTTCTAATAATGCACTTTGTGGAACTGCAAGGAGGTAGATAATTCTTAAGATCGAGCAGTGTTTCTTTCAGGCATCTCTTCGCCCCCCCCCCCCCCCCACCGGAAGAAAGTCTACAGCCCCCCCCCCCCCAACGAAATGGAATTTATATATTATATAGAAAACATACTTTTACCAGTCTCCACCCCCCCCCCCCGGTAAATGGATTCCGCCTCACGAAAATATTAGCACCCCCCCCCCCCGGAGAAAAAAGTCTGAAAGAAATCTGTGATCGATGTTTGTGTTTTATGATTTTAGTTAGGATTAGGGACAGGAATAATACTGTTTTTTTTCTGTCGGAGTCGAGTCAGAGAATACGACTAATGCTAATACTTTAAACTAATAATTTGAATACAATACTAAATTTTATGGAGTTTGATTTAAAATATTTGCCGCATCCACGCATAAGTTTAAAAAAAAAAAGAAGATTTGTACACGTAAGAGTAAAAACACCGATATAAATTGAAATTGTGTTTGTAAATGCTACTTATTTCAGCTGATTTTTATTGCTCGTTTCAACGTCCAATGTTTCATTAACGGCTCTCTATTAAAATTCTTCAACACAAATATAGAAACAGTCTATCCAAATCGAAACATAACCGTACCAGTTAAAATACTATTATGGCCAGTAATCATCTATTGAATACCTTGTCAACCCAAAAGATAAAATAAAATGTTGCTTAAGATCTAGAGTATTTTTTTAATCATAACGTTTCATCACATTAAAAAAAATATACTATGAGGTTTTTAATGAGCTAGCTTTCGATTTAATTACACGTTTTAATTAGTCGTTTTTAAGGTTATTTAATATTTTTTGTAAGTTTTGGGTCGGTCATAAAATGACATCACACTCGAAAGAGGGGGAGGGGCCGTAATTTTTGTGTCGGTGTGTTATGAGGGTGGTGGGGGGGGGGGGGTTTAGATAGCGTAAAGTCGCACTTTTTGTATTTAAAAAAGGTAATGTTAGAAAACAAATTTTAGCCGTTATTTCGCGTTTTAGTAGACTGTTTTAATAAATTGTAAAAGAAATTGATTAAAATACTCTATGTTGACCACGCTTAGTCAAGAGTTTAGAAAAAAAAATATCGATGTTTTAAAAATTATTCAACTGCAATTTTGAGGGGGGTGGGGATAGTAGGCTGAGGTGTGACGTCATTTGTGACGATCTATGGCGGTGGGTGGGAGGTAAAAATCGTCAAACATAAAAGCGTGACGTCATTTATGTATAACCCCCCCCCCCCCTACCTTATATCTGATTTGGTACGTAGTGCGGCGGTTAGAGGGTGACACAAGTCTGTTGTAGAGTGATGACGTGTCCATGTATCTAACCACACCGATGTGATGACGTCAGACACGAGAGTGGAGCCACGCATCACCATCCAATGATGGTTCCATCAAAGATGGGGAAAGAAATCATTTTTCTTCTTGCCTGTGTGGTCGGCTCGCTAGCAGGTAAAGTATATTTATCTTGTACAAACAAGTACGATGTTTCACCAATGGACTTAGATTAAATGGGTGTTAGTGGCTTTTATAGTAATAGCAGATGCAGAGTTTGCTGTGTGTTTAATGTTGTGTTATAGTTTCTCATCTTTTTTCAAATGTTTTGGTTTTCTTAGGCTGAATCATTGTTTGTTTTGACAGTGTGTATCATACTTTATACGCCATTGTGTATTGATCACAATAGGGCTTGTAAGTAGGTCACCAACTTCTCGTTCTGGTACTTGCCAGGTGGTATTTTTCAAACCAATTGTGAATGTTTTTATTAAATCGGTAAAAAATAAAAAGAAATAAAAAGAAAAGTTTTAATTCCGTTATAGTGAAGTAATTGGAAAATCATGAACAAGAATAATGATAGACTACATGATGTAGGCTAGCTTAAAAAAAAATAAAAGCCTATTTCAAATTGATGTTTTTTTTTTAAAAAGTGTATGACAGTTGTACTGTCAACGCAGAGCCTGTCTCCGTCAATAGAGCAAACGATATCATTAGTACAAATGTGTTTAAATAACCCTTACATCGATAAATTAGCTATTCACTTTGATCTGCTTTTATCCACCTAATGCGGTTGGATTTTCTCATGATCAGCAAGCCCAACTAAGCTGTCTCTTGAAAATACGTTTTAATCTTCGAGTTTTATATTACTGATTGTAATTTTTTAATATGGTTATTAGATGGTGGCAATTATTATGTGAAAAAAGTAAATTAGAAAAAAACACATGACATTAAAAATAAAACTTTTACAATCGAATACTTGAAATATTTTGCTGTGAAATACTTTTTTCTGAGATCATCTGTAGATAACATCGTTTGACCTTCTATATTGTGTCCCGATATACTTTCTCGGCGATATCATTTGTCCTTAGATCATTTGTCCTAGTATCTTTTATCTTTGAGATCATTTGTCCTGGTATCTTTTATCTGTGAGATCATTTGTCCTGGTATCTTCTATCTGTGAGATCATTTATCCTGGTATCTTTTATCTGTGAGATCATTTATCCTGGTATCTTTTATCTGTGAGATCATTTATCCTGGTATCTTTTATCTGTGAGATCATTTGTCCTGGTATCTTTTATCTGTGAGATCATTTGTCCTGGTATCTTTTATCTGTGAGATCATTTTCCTGGTATCTTTTATCTGTGAGATCATTTGTCCTGGTATCTTTTATCTGTGAGATCATTTGTCCGTGAAATATTTTGTCTGGATCACTTGTCATGGAACCACACACACACACACACACACACACACACACACACACATTATATATATATATATATATATATATATATATATATATATATATATATATATATATATATATATATATGTGCAGCGCCACCACCATCAGAATATTGTAAAAATGACTGTTCTGAACAACCGGACGGAAATCACGTGCTGTGTAACAAGTGTGAAAATGGGTACTACTTGTCTTGTACGAACGGCGACGGAATTGAGATGTGAGTAAATAACATGATAAAAAACAACAGCGATATGCTTTAGATAAGGAGATGTGAGTAAATGACATGATAAAAAACGACATCAATGTGCTTAAGATAAGGAGATGTGAGTAAATGACATGATAAAAAACAACAGCAATGTGCTTTAGATAAGATGTGAGTAAATACATATGAGAAAAGAAACATCTATGTGCTTTAATAAATGTAGATGTGAGTAAATATACAAGGGAAAAAACCCAGCAACGTGCTTTAGTTAACGATTGTTTCTTGCGATAGCACCAGATCTTGTCCAGATAAACCCCACTACAGGTTGAACCCCGCCACACAAAAAACATGAAAATAGTACTAGATCTAGCCCTAGCCCTAGCCCACCTGATTGGGAAAATCTTTCCAATCTTGCATGTATTTATGTATACTGGTCGCTACGGTGACACGATATTGTGATAACCGTTTTATTTTAGTTGACACAATTTTATGAATACTTTTTAGATCTTATGTTCTGGTTTCTTTTAATTTCTGATCAATTTCTGGTAAACGGAATTAGCACTTAATTATGTTTACTTTTTCGCCGGAAAAAAAACAACAACAATAAAACAACGATATAATGAACATCTCCATATATTTGTACAAGAACCTGCCCGTGGTTTTGAACTTGTGACTATAAGGTTTAGCAGCCATGCGTTTTAGCGACCCGACCAACCCCGACCCTTACAAACTGTGTTCATCATCGTAACGTTATTAGTAATCGTGTACGGTGACGCACATTTTGTCGCGTAAATAAGAACCAAAGACATCATCTATTACAGGCCGTGTGCTCTGGGCGAGTATCGCACCAAAAACGGCACCAAGTACAACGCACGCCTCATCTACAACCCTACCATGGACGCCTGCACGCACAGCAACCAGATCTGCGACATGAACAACTTTGGCGTCAGTAAGGAATGTTTTGAATTCTGTTGTTGTGATATCTTAGTAGTTTCATTATACAGCTGGGGTTGGCATCATGTTGTGTATACCGGTGTCGTGATATCTTAATAGTTCCATTATACAGCTAGGGTTGGCATATTATACAGCTAGGGTTGGCCTCATGTTGTGTATACCGGTGTCGTGATATCTTAATGGTTCCATTATACAGCTAGGGTTGGCATATTATACAGCTAGGGTTGGCCTCATGTTGTGTATACCGGTGTCGTGATATCTTAATGGTTCCATTATACAGCTAGGGTTGGCATATTATACAGCTAGGGTTGGCCTCATGTTGTGTATACCGGTGTCGTGATATCTTAATGGTTCCATTATACAGCTAGGGTTGGCATATTATACAGCTAGGGTTGGCCTCATGTTGTGTATACCGGTGTCGTGATATCTTAATGGTTCCATTATACAGCTAGGGTTGGCATATTATACAGCTAGGGTTGGCCTCATGTTGTGTATACCGGTGTCGTGATATCTTAATAGTTCCATCATACAGCTAGGGTTGGCATCATGTTGTGTATACCGGTGTTGTGATATCTTAATAGTTCCATTATACAGCTAGGGTTGGCATATTATACAGCTAGGGTTGGCATCATGTTGTGTATACCGGTGTCGTGATATCTTAATGGTTCCATTATACAGCTAGGGTTGGCATATTATACAGCTAGGGTTGGCCTCATGTTGTCTATACCGGTGTTGTGATATCTTAATAGTTCCATTATACAGCTAAGGTTGGCATCATGTTGTGTATACTGGTGTTGGGATATCTTAATAATTCCATCATACAGCTAGGGTTGAACATTTTCGTGTTTCGTTGTCGTTGTTTGTTTGAAGACTTTATTTATGATGTCATCGGTTATAGCTCTATTTATATATGGATAATGTCGTCGGACGGTACAGAAATAAAGAAAAGAAATAAAAGAATGACACAAATGAAAGCTAGTTTTGAAATATGGGATAGAAGCAGTGGTAATATCAAAGGCCATATACGAGCGAAACCGTATAAAATACGCCTTAATGATTATTTCATTAGTTACCAAGATTTGCGTAGATAAAAAGAAAATAAATGTAGGAATAAGTTTGCAAGGGGTGAAACATCTTTAGGATAAAATCCCATGTTTTCTTTTTCTGTTTACATGTATAATTAAATAAAGACGGTTCAGACAATAGTTTATAATCAAAGCCAGCCATGACCTAGCCATATGCTATCCCTGAAATCGCTACTATTGTTTCTTCCAAAACATGCTGGTTCTATGTGATGGTAGCATACTCACATTAACTTTATTAAAAAAAAAGTAAATTTTGACGATTTAGTGTACAAAGTAGATTTGATTCTGGAACGTTCGAATTCTAGACTAGTTTTAACATCTAGGAAGGTTCGTGTCTCTGGGAAATGTCATCACTGGACAAACGAATCTGTAAGCTTTAAATCAGTGTGGTCAGCACTATACCCAACCGTCTTAGATTCTCTAACGTTAGTAAGGTACCTATTTTGGCTGAGTGGACTCAGGGCCCGTGAACCGATTTCAAGACTTTCAAATTAAAAGCGCTATATCCGACCACGCTCACCTCAAGTAAGGGCATATAAAAGAATCGTCTCTAGGCCTTGCTGTTCATTGTGCAGGTGAAGTAGAGTTCATATATTTCTTGACCTCAGCATATGAAGGGAAGGTGTGGTCAGCACTTTGCCCAACCGCCTTCCTTTACTTTTCCTTGGTTAGGTATCCTTATTAGCTGGATGGCCTCATGGGCGTTCTACTGACTTTGACCCGGATTCGAACTCGAGACGTTCAGGTTAGCAGCCTAGCGCTCTACCGCTAATCCACGTCGTTCCATATCGGGCATACAGTGCATGTTGATGTATTTTTACCTTCAACCAACAGGATCTTGTTTAACCTACGGATGTGCATATCGTAAAGATGGGGACTACCCACTGTGTGGCGAGCAGTGTTATAGAGGATACTACGGACATTGCGAGAACGGAAACATGAATAGAATGTAAGACCTTTAACGCTGACAGGACAAAGTTAATGATCTCATGACAAATGATCTCAGGACAAATGATCTCAGGACAAATATCTCAGGACGAATGATCGCAGACAAAATATCCCAGACAAAATATCTCAGGACAAATGATCTCAGGACAAAATATATAAGGACATATGATACCATTGACACATGATATCAGACAAAATATCTCGGACAAAATATCTCACACATATTTCTAAATAAACCATTAGGTCATGTGAAGAAAGTATCTCTATATTACCACTAGGTCATGTCAACAAATATTACCACGAGGTCATATGAACAAAGTATCTCTATATTACCACTAGGTCATGTGAATAAAGTATCTCTACATTACCACTAGGTCATGTGAACAAATATTACCACTAGGTCATGTGAATAAAGTATCTCTACATTACCACTAGGTCGTGTGAAAAAAAGTATCTCTACATTACCACTAGGTCATGTGAACAAAGTATCTCTATATTACCACGAGGTCATGTGAACAAATATTACCACTAGGTCATGTGAATATAGTATCTCTACATTACCAATAGGTCATGTGAACAAATATTACCACTAGGTCATGTTAAGAAAGTATCTCTATATTACCACTATGTCATGTGAAGAAAGTATCTCTATATTACCACTAGGTCATGTGAACAAATATTACCACTAGGTCATGTGAAGAAAGTATCTCTATATTACCACTAGGTCATGTGAACAAATATTACCACTAGGTCATGTGAACAAAGCATCTCTATATTACCACTAGGTCATTTGAAGAAAGTATCTCTATATTACCACTAGGTCATGTGAAGAAAGTATCTCTACATTACCACTAGGTCATGTGAAGAAAGTATCTCTATATTACCACTAGGTCATGTGAAGAAAGTATCTCTACATTACCACAAGGTCATGTGAAGAAAGTATCTCTACATTACCACTAGGTCATGTGAAGAAAGTATCTCTACATTACCACTAGGTCATGTGAACAAATATTACCACTAGGTCATGTGAAGAAAGTATCTCTACATTACCACTAGGTCATGTGAACAAAACAGCGAAATGCCGGATGTGACTCTGGTATTCCAGCCCACTAGCAAGAAATGTGAAAAGTCTACAGAGGTTTGTGAACTCAATGACCAAGTTTTATCAAGAATTATCTCCCTTAAACGTGAGTACCACTGTCTTCAAATATGTGAGTTAAATGGGGCGACGCGGTGTGGCGGGCGGGAGGGCATTTGATGCGGACCCCCTGCCCCTTACCCCGACTTAAGGGACAGTGTGGTGTGGATGGCGGACGGGCATTCGATAATGACCCCCAACCCCTAATCCCGCCTTAAGGTCTGAAGGGGGCGGCGCTGTTTTATCGGCAGATGGGAACTCGATACGAACCCCCCCCCCCCCCAATTCCGCCCTTGAGCCAAAACCAACCTATGCGAGTCACGTTAGAGAAGTCTAGTCTGAGTACCACGGGTGTACTTGCTTGCAGTGTTTCTTTCATGATTACTCCGGGGGGGGGGTGGGGAGAAGGGGGGGGGGAACTTGAAATTGTAGGGGGGCGGACACTGGTAAAATTTTATATTTTGTGTATTTTCTATATCTTTTAAAAAAAAAACAAGCAAAATGCAAAATGTTAGATAGGAATGGATTTAAAACTAATCCAATTCATGCTTTCAGTCATGGAATGCTTGGGGTATGAATGGATTTAAAACTAATCCAATTCATGTTTTCAGCCATGGAATGCGTGGGGTATGAATGGATTTAAAACTAATCCAATTCATGTTTTCAGCCATGGAATGCGTGGGGTATGAATGGATTTAAAACTAATCCAATTCATGTTTTCAGTCATGGAATGCTTGGGGTATGAATGGATTTAAAACTAATCCAATTCATGTTTTCAGCCATGGAATGCGTGGGGTATGAATGGATTTAAAACTAATCCAATTCATGTTTTCAGTCATGGAATGCTTGGGGTATGAATGGATTTAAAACTAATCCAATTCATGTTTTCAGCCATGGAATGCGTGGGGTATGAATGGATTTAAAACTAATCCAATTCATGTTTTCAGCCATGGAATGCTTGGGGTATGAATGGATTTAAAACTAATCCAATTCATGTTTTTAGCCACTGCATGCGTGGATGGAACAAACTGTGTGGGTCGACCTGATGGTAGCTACGCCCTCTGCGATGCTTTAGCGTGTCTGGATGGGAGATTTGCAAGCTGTAGCGGGGAGATATTCTATGAGATGTAAGGGTTGTCACGTTAAAACTGTAATCTGTAAGGATTGTCACGTTAAAATTGTATTCTATGAGATGTAAGGTTTGTCACGTTAAAACTGTAATCTGTAAGGATTGTCACGTTGAAACTGTATTCTATGAGATGTAAGGGTTGTCACGTTAAAATTGTAATCTGTAAGGATTGTCACGTTAAAAATGTATTCTATGAGATGTAAGGTTTGTCACGTTAAAACTGTAATCTGTAAGGATTTTCACGTTAAAATTGTATTCTATGAGATGTAAGGTTTGTCACGTTAAAACTGTAATCTGTAAGGATTGTCACGTTGAAACTGTATTCTATGAGATGTAAGGGTTGTCACGTTAAAATTGTATTCTATGAGATGTAAGATTGTCACATTAAAATTGTATTCTATGAGATGTAAGATTGTCACGTTAAAATTGTATTCTGTAAGGATTCTCACGTTCAAATTGTATTCTATGAGATGTAAGGGTTGTCACGTTAAAACTGTAATCTGTAAGGATTGTCACGTTAAAACTGTATTCTATGAGATGTAAGGGTTGTCACGTTAAAACTCTAATTTGTAAGGATTGTCACGTTAAAATTGTATTCTATGAGATGTAAGATTGTCACGTTAAAATTGTATTCTATGAGATTTAAGATTGTCACTTTAAAATTGTATTCTATGAGATGTAAGATTGTCACGTTAAAATTGTATTCTGTAAGGATTCTCACGTTAAAATTGTATTCTATGAGATGTAAGGGTTGTCACGTTAAAACTGTAATCTGTAAGGATTGTCACGTTAAAATTGTAATCTGTAAGGATTGCCACGTTAAAATTGTATTCTATGAGATGTAAGATTGTCACGTTAAAATTGTATTCTATGAAATGTAAGATTGTCACTTTGAAATTGTATTCTATGAGATGTAAGGGTTTTAGCGTTAAAATTGTAATCTGTAAGGATTGTCACGTTAAAATTGTAATCTGTAAGGATGTCACGTTAAAATTGTAGTCTACGAGCTGTAAGAATTGTCACGTTAAAATTGTATTCTATGAGATGTAAGGGTTGTCACGTTAAAATTGTAATCTGTAAGGATTGTCACGTTAAAATTGTAATCTGTAAGGATGTCACGTTAAAATTGTAATCTATGAGCTGTAAGAATTGTCACGTTAAAATTGTATTTTATGAGATGTAAGGGTTGTCACGTTAAAATTGTAATCTGTAAGGATTTTCACGTTAAAATTGTAATATGTTAGGATGTCACGTTAAAATTGTAATCTACGAGCGGTAAGTATTGTCACGTTAAAATTGTAATCTATGAGATGTAAGAATTGTCACGTTAAAATTGTATTCTATGCGATGTAAGGATTGTCACGTTAAAATTGTAATCTGTAAGGATGTCACGTTAAAATTGTAATCTACGAGCTGTAAGAATTGTCACGTTAAAATTGTATTCTATGAGATGTAAGGGTTGTCACGTTAAAATTGTAATCTGTAAGGATTGTCACGTTAAAATTGTAATCTGTAAGGATGTCACGTTAAAATTGTAATCTATGAGATGTAAGAATTGTCACGTTAAAATTGTATTCTATGCGATGTAAGGATTGTCACGTTAAAATTGTATTCCATGAGATGTAAGAATTGTCACGTTAAAATTGTATTCTATGAGATGTAATATTGTCACGTTTAAAGTATAGTTTAAGGTTTTAGGATTGTCACGTTAAAATTGTATTTTATGAGATGTAAGAATTGTCACGTTATAATTATATTCTGTAAGGATTGTCAAGTTAAACATGTATTCTATGAGATGTAAGAATTGTCACGTTAAAATTGTATTCTATGAGATGTAAGATTGCCACGTTAAACATATATTCTATGAGATGTAAGATTGTCAGTTTAAAATTGTATTCTATGAGATGTAAGATTGTCACGTTAAAATTGTATTCTATGAGATGTAAGGATTGTCACATTAAAATTGTATACTATAAAGTGTTAGGATTGTCCGTTACAGATTATGAACGTTATCAGTGTATGTGTGTGTGTGTATGTGAGGTATGTGTTTTCTTGTGTATGTTTGTGTGTATGTGTGTGTCAGTTGTAAGTGTAGTGTCTTCATTGTGTATGTATGTGTGCTGTGTAGCCTAGGCCCGTATGTGCGTGTCAGCCGAAGTGTGTCCTCTTGTATGTGCGTGTGTGAGTCTGTATACACGTGATCTGTATTTATCTTGTGTATATGTGTGAGCTATGAATTGTCTCGTTTGTATATGTTTATGTCAGCTCTAAGTGTGTTGTCTGTACATTGGAGTTGTCGTGTGCGCAGCAGATTAAAAAGAAACGTGTCATTATGTGTCAATACCATTTCCATTTTTATTGATCATAAGACATTATCACTTATCCAATGTTTGAAGGTTTAAAATAAAATCTTGTAAAAAAAACATCTTCTCACCAGGGTTTGCGCACTAGGTTGGGAAGGTAACGACCCAACAAGCGGTAAACTAAAGAGGTTGATATACAATCCCGTGACAGATTCTTGTGAATATTCGTCGGAATCTTGTCCGCCGCTACCCGAAGTAAACAACGTCACCGTAAAGACCAGAGGCGGTGTGGAATCATTTTTGTTTTCTTTTTAATAACAGGGGCTATGGGCAGGGTTTCTTTCAGGTATTTTTCTTCGGACTGAGGGGGCGGCACTGATTAAAGTGTATCTATCTATCTATCTATCTATCTATCTATCTATCTATCTATCTATCTATCTATCTATCTATCTATCTATCTATCTATCTATCTATCTATCTATCTATCTATCTATCTATCTATCTATCTATCTATCTATCTATCTATCTATCTATCTATCTATCTATCTATCTAATCTATCTATCTATCTAATCTATCTATCTATCTATCTATCTATCTATCTATCTATATATATATGTATATATATATATATATATATATATATATATATATATATATATATATATATATATATATATATATATATATATATATATATATATATATATATATATATGTATATGTATATGTATATGTATATGTATATATATATGTATATATATATGTATATATATGTATATATATATATATATATATATATATATATATATATATATATATATATATAATATGTATATATGCAATTTTAAAAATTTCTATGTAGTTATATATGTATATATATATATATATATATATATATATATATATATATATATATATATATATATATATATATATATATATATATATATATATATATATATATATATATATATATATGCAATTTTAATAATTTCTATGTAAAGATCGTGGTGGTAAGTAGGGGGGTGTATGTGCTCTTGTAGGCGAGGGGGCGGGGGCTTTGATGTCGGAAATCGCTATTTAAGACGACGTGGTGAGATGGTAGAGCGCAAGGCTGCTAACCCGAACGTCTCGTGTTCGTATCCCGGGAACGAGTTCGTAAGACGTGCCTGAGCCCACCCAGCTCTGATGGGTACCTGGCTCACGTTAGGGAAAGTATACATGGCTGAGCGTAGTGGTGACTACACTATCCTTTCATATGACGTGTTCAAAGAAAAGGGGGGAACTCAACTTCATCTGCCCCAAATGACCCCCCGGTTTGAAACGGTTACTTACTTTACTTTTAGTACTCTTAGGTCAGGTAATCAACTGCATTGAGAAATATTCCATACAAGTATTCGTTTCTGTGCGTTCAGCCAGGAACTCAAATAAAAGAGTTTTTTTATTACATAGTCATTGAAACGACATACTTGACGTATTTATACATACTTTTTAAACCCTGAGTCAGATATCGAGTAAGTAAAAACTTTTTTTGTATTTATTAAATATTTTAAATTTTACAGTAGTTATAAAAATGGTTAGTTATAAGTAAAATTCCTCTTTAGACCTACCTATAATTGGGCAGATGATGTAGAGTTTGTTTGTTTCTTGACCTCGGGTAGGATGGTGTGGTCAGCATTATGCCCAGCTGCCTTCACTTTCCCCAACGTAAGTCGGGTACCCATTGGAGCTGAGTTGACTCAGGGATGTCATACAGCCAAAGCAGCCAAATGCGTTACTACTTGACCAGGCCGTGTCAAAATATTACTACGTTAATATTTTGTAAAATATAAATCAACTCGTTTGGGGGTCGTCCATAAATGACATCACACTGGTAGGGGGTGGAGTGGGGATCCGTAATTATGTGACGGTGTGTGATGAGGGGGAGGGGGGCCCGGGTCAGATGGTGTGACGTCACACTTTGACATCATAAAAAAACAATGCTAGAAATGAATTTTAGCCGTTATTTCGCGTTTTAGAAAACTGTTTTAACAAAATGTAATAGGATTTGATTAAAATACTCTATGTTGAGAGAGTTCAGATGAGATTTTTGAAAAAAATATCGTATTTTAAGAAAAATTCAACTGCGATTTTGAGATGGTCTTAGGCTGATGTGTGACGTTATTTGGGGGGGGGGGGGGAGGTCTGGGATTTTATGACGATGTGTGACGGAGGGGGTGGGGGTAAAAATCGTCAAAAAACGCGTGACCTCATTTATGGATGGCCCCTTGTGAAGTATATTCTGTGTTTTAATAAACGAAGATATCTCTCTCCTATTAATTTGTGTATGTAAGAAACGAAGATATATATTATATATATAATATAAGATATATATCTCATATGTATATATAATAAACGAAGATATCACTTTCAAATATATACTTTTAATAAACCAATACATCTCTCTCATATATTCTGTGTATTAAATAAGCGAAAACAACTCTGTCATATATTCTGTGTATTAAATAAGCGAAGACAACTCTGTCATATATTCTATGTATTAAATAAGCGAAGGCAACTCTATCATATATTCTGTGTATTAAATAAACGAAGACAACTCTATATTATTTCCCTGACAGAACCAAAGTACTGTATTTACAATTGCGTCGGCCGGGCTAACGGCCCCTATCCCCTCTGTGGAGAGCAATGCAATGGTTACTACGCTACATGTTCCAACCAGGACCTGTATAAAATGTAAGTCTTCATTTCTGGGGATTTCAGGTACCTGTGTCAGGCGGTGCATGCCAGTTAAGTAGAGGTCAGGTCAAGCTTCTGATGTGAAGACAGTACCAGCGGCGTCATTAGGTCGAGTGTCACCCGGTGCGGCACCTCCCCGTTTTTTTCTCTGTAAATTTTGCGGTTGGTTTCGAAACCCCCCCCCCCCCCCCCCCACCCGGCTAAAGCTTTAAACTGTCCACATTTCTTACTGCTGAAATTTATCGGCAGTCGGTTGTAAATACACATGGGTGTAGTATTGTTTTCTCTATAGTTTGCATGTTTACGTCATGGCGTCGCACCTCACCCAAACCCCCCTTGTCCGCTCTCCCCCTCCCGCGTAGCGACGCCCTGGGTGGTACAAATTCATCTTCAAGTAAGTGTAAGTTAGTAAGAGTAAGTCCAGGGTCAGATCATGTTACTGATATGAAAGTAGTACAGATTCATTCAGGTAAGTTCAAGTAAGTGGATGGTAGTACGAGTAAGTCCAGGGTCAAATCATGTTACTGATATGAAAGTAGTACAGATTCATTCAGGTAAGTTCAAGTAAGTGTAATGTAGTACGGGCTAGTCCAGGGTCAGATCATGTTACTGATATGAAAGTAGTACAGATTCATTCAGGTAAGTTCAAGTGTAGTGGTAGAGATAGACTGCTAATCCGAATGTCTCGAGTTCGAATCCAGGTTCAAGTCAGTAGAGCGTCCCTAGATCCATGCAGATGGGTACCTAACACAATTTAAGGAAAAGTACAAAATAGTGCTGACCACAGTATCATATGCCGAGGTCTCTGAAATAGATGAACTCTACTGCAACTAGAGTCCGCCCAGCTCTGATAGGTACCTGATCTACGTTAGATAAAGCTAATGCGTTATGGAACAGTAGTGACTGCACTACCTCTGTATATGCTAAGGAAAAACAACCAAATAGATGAACTCTACTTCCTCTGGTACCGATGGACCGCAAGGTAGATATCCAGTGACTGTCGGGTAGACTTCGATTCCGACATTTCTGACCAACATCCGTTTATCCATCAGGGAGTGTCAATGGGGCCACGTCACTAATTCCGAAGGCAAACGAAACATCACCAGGATGCACTTCGATCCCTATACAGAACAGTGCGGACCCACTGTGCAACTATGCGATGCACCTCTATTCGCTATGTCAGTAGGAGCTGGTAAGAAAAAGGAAATTACTCCTCTTTACTTATGTTTGTATATATATATATATATATATATATATATATATATATATATATATATATATATATATATATATATATATATATATATATATATATATATATATATATATATATATATATATGGATAAGCCCTTACATTGTGCACTTCATCTTTTTGGGTCCACGACATACTAATACACTGCATATGGTCATGACCCCCTCCTCCCCCCCCCCTCACCCTTTCCAATACACATAAACCCACGTTGATCGAATTTAATAACCCACCCCACGATATCCTATCCACCTTATATACATACCACCCCTTTCATTATGAATTAACTTTTTCCCCCAATAGCCTATTCTTCAAACTAGTGCACTATAACGATATAAACAGTCTTTAGTAAACTGACCATAAACACTAAACAAAAATTGCTTTCAGCTAGAAATTGCCTGTTCGTGTTCTTTCACGAAACTGCCTGCTCACCATTTGTTCCAGTCTATGCTCAAGACACACGTGGCAGATGAAGTAGAGTTCTTCTGTTTCAATGACCTCGGCATACAAGAGGATAATGCGCTCAGCACTATGGCCTTTGTTTTCCCCAACGTGAGTCTGGTACCCGTCAGAGCTGGGTGGACTCAGCGACGTACTACTAAGTGAACTCGGATTCGAACTCGAGACTTTCGGGTCAGCCTTGTACCGTCATGGAACCAGTATTTCTTCCAGGCATCTCTTCTCGGGTGCATCCCCCCCCCCCCCCGAAAATACCAAGTGCCCTCCCGGAGAAAAACGTCTGGAAGAAACACTGCACGGAACACACTTTGTCTGTGGATTTTTTTTAAAAAAAAGCCTTTTTTTTAATAGCCATAAATTTAAAAAAAGGCATTAATTTTTTTTTAAAAGCCATAAATTTAGCAGGGAGCAGGCTGACGCCATCTTGGATCCTGATGTGTCTGCTGATGAAAGTTGGCAGATTCTTCTACATTGTCGTCTGATAAAGTGGAACAGGCTTTTGACTGAACATGATTCCCTCCCACTTCACCTGCTAATGCAGAAGAGAGTTTGGATTTCTAGGAAAGTTTTTAAGTTCAGCTGGTGTTTAGTAAAATTCATGCTTGCAAAGTTGGGGGACTAGTTAGAGGGAGATTATTCACGTATTTTTTTTTGGTTCAATTTTTTTTCCCAAGTAAAATTACGTGAGGGATATAAGTTGTATAGGCTTAGATTTTCTTGAAATGATTAGACATAATAATTAAACAGGAGTGTAATTGTGGTGATGGCGTGTATAGGGCTGGTAAGTAGGTCAATAAACAGTTCTTTTGCTCATTCAGGTTTTATTGAACCGTAGAACTGTTTATTGACCTACTTAGCAGCCCGATAGGAATTACACATGTTAGAAAAAGGCTGTTTGATATGGAATAGAATAAACGTAGGTGGAAAGTAGGGGGAAAAAAACTTGGGTGGATAATTATAGTTTTATTTTTTTACGAGTTTGTTAAGTAAAGTAGGAGAGTGGGTAAAGTGTCTTTGCTGACAGTGTTTCTTTCAGACTTTTTCCTCCGGTGAGGGGGGGGGGGAGAGCACTTGAGATTTTCGGAGTGGAGGGGCGATCTAAATGTTCCGGTGGGGGGGGGGGGGAGGGTTGAGGGTGTTCGCAGGTTAAGTATATATTTTCTATATAAATTCTATTTCGTTCGAAAGGGAGTCCACCTAAGCACACCCCCCCACCCCGGGAGAGATGACTAAAAGAAACACTGCTTGCTGAGTAGGTCTATTTATTTATTTGGTTTAGAAAAATAAAATTTGTTTCTTATGTGTCGGGGGCTAAACAGTTAATCTTTAAGGAAACAAAAGAAACGATTTATTGTCATATAATGAGGACGCGAGTGAACACATTGCACTACATACAAATGTATACTACACAGAATGTATTATGCTAACATTATATATATATATATATATATATATATATATATATATATATATATATATATATATATATATATATATATATATATATATATATATATATATAAATATATATATATATATATATATATAAATATATATATATATATGAGAGTGTGTGTGAGTGTGTGTGTAGATAAAAAAAGTCCACATTGTTTATTCATATATCATCTTTTACATTTATTACGTTGAATCATTGTATAAATAAACACTTTTAAATTATGATCCTATCTGGTTAAAAACTAATTTGTTATGAGTCTGTTGGTTTTAATCTTAAAAATTTTAACATATTTGTAAAAAAAAATCAAATTATTCTACTAGATCAGGGGTCGGCAACCTGCGGCTCGCGAGCCGCATGCGGCTCTTTTGATATCAAGATGCGGCTCTCCAGCTCCTTGCACAAATACTAATAATCTTAATAAAAAAATAAAATATTTGAAATAAAAAGATGTTAGTGGCTCTTTAAAACCAGTACAATATTGAAAATTGTAACTTTTGGCTCTTCCGCTTCAAAATTTTGCCGACCCCTGTACTAGATGATAGATTTGGGACATTATTAAAATATTATTTTATAAAATATTTTCGCTCAAAGTAAAAAAAAAAAAGATTAGGATATTCCTCTCGTCACTTATGTGTATGTTTTATTCCTGTATTTACATCCACGTCATGCTGTTTTAGTTTCTCGGCTGTTTCCGCTACAGTTATATTTAGTCATCCGTGTATATCTTTCTCAGAAAGCGACAATGAAGTCTGTATTGTCTTCCAAGTGGGCGTCATTTATTTTATTTTTCTATTGAGATAGACCAAATGTCCTGTTGATTCATCTTGGGGTCAGAGGTCAAATCGGCCTAGTTTCTCACGCGCGTGTTAGGGTCACCAAGGACAGACATGTGAATGTCACATCGACCTAAGACACATACATATACAGACGGACATGTGAATGTCACATCGACCTAAGACACATACAGACGGACATGTGAATGTCACATCGACCTAAGACACATACACATACAGATGGACATGTGAATGTGACATCGACCTAAGACACATACACATACAGACGGACATGTGAATGTCACATCGACCTAAGGCACATACACACACACATACAGACGGACATGTCACATCGACCTAAGGCACATACACATACAGACGGACATGTGAATGTCACATCGACCTAAGGCCCACACACACACACACACATACAGACGGACATGTCACATCGACCTAAGGCACATACACATACAGACGGACATGTGAATGTCACATCGACCTAAGACACACACACATACAGACGGACATGTGAATGTCACATCGACCTAAGGCACATACACACACACATACAGACGGACATGTGAATGTCACATCGACCTAAGGCACATACACACACATACAGACGGACATGTCACATCGACCTAAGGCACATACACATACAGACGGACATGTGAATGTCACATCGACCTAAGGCACATACACACACACATACAGACGGACATGTCACATCGACCTAAGACACATACACACACACGGAGTTGAGAAAACAACCAGGTTTCTTTCTACTTGACTGGCTGACCTGATAAGTGGCTCCCGGTAAATAAACCCCTTCGCGATATAAAACCCATTGACATAAACCCCATGGAAAAAAAACCCGGTGACATAAGCCCTATGGACAAAAACCCCACTTGACATAAATCCCCTCGACAAAACCCCCTAGAGACCCCTCCCCCACCCCGACATAAACCACCTGGATAAAAAACCCTCGCGACAGTAACTCCGTGGCCAAAAACCTCGCTACATAAACCCCCGACATGAACCCCATGTTTGTCCAGCGTGCTTTAATTTGCGAGAGGGGGGGGGGGGGTGGTGTCCATATGGGTTTTATGACCAGATATCGATAAGTGTCATGTGACACAAATTGTGAGATGGGGAAGAGGGGGATAATTATTGTATGCACGTTACAATGCCCAGCACATGTACTTTAATTCATTAAATAAAACATCCTGTGTACGCTATCACCCCTGCATTGTTTTCCATGTCTGATGACCTACACTACTTGACACAAGGATTGGTTCGTGAATGACGTTACATGCAGTTAGTTGAATTATACCCACTCTTCTCCTTTCCGCACACATCATCACACGAAAGAACCCCCCACCCTCTTCACACATCCACAACTACTAATAACTTAACGAAGTCCCCGCCCCACCCCATTTTTTTCACACGATACCATTAGTTCTATCAAACGCAAGTGTTTCAATCCCTGTTTTTTTTATTTAAATACGTCTAGTTTTCTAAGAAAAGTTTACTATTTTAACCCCCTCCCCCCTCCTTAATTCTAGTCATTGTTCATGCCGGATGAAATCCTACCACCTACCTTCCTATTATGTCTTAGCTTCTCAGCCTCTGGCAAAATTAAGCCACAACCTCCACACCCATATTATGTACGCACGTGTCAAGTCTTGGCACCTATGTCTCCAGCTTAGATAAGCCTTGAATCCCACCCCTACTCTATAGTCAACATCTTGATAAGCAAAGCTGTTCGACATATGCCCCGGCTTAGTTAGACTATTCAATGCCCCCCTCACCCCGCTAAATAAGCCGTACGGTCTACGCCCCTGCTTAATCAGCCACACAATCTACGCCCCTGCTAATTAAGATGTACCATCTACGCCCTTGCTAAACTAAGCCTTACGATGTTCGCCTCTGTAAAACAAAGCCTTACGACCTACGCCCCTGCTAAGCAAAGCAGTTCGATGATCTACGCCCATGCTAAACTAAGCCTTACGATGTTCGCCCCTGCTTAACTAAGCCTTAACATCTACGACCCTGTTAAACAAAGCCGTACGATATAAGCCCCTGCTAAACAAAGCCCAACGATCTACGCCCCCGATAAACTAAGCCTTATGATCTACGCCCTGCAACACTAAGCCCACTCATCTTCACCCATGCAAAACTAAGCCCTTCACTCTACGCCCCTGTCAAAATAAGCCCTACCTTGTACCATTTCCCCTCCGTCCCCTCCCCACCCCCCACTTCCACAATAACTAACACTACCACTAATTCTAACATTTCTTACAGCCTACAATAAAAAGAAAAATCCCCCAGAACCTTCTGGTAGCTGTCGCCTACAAAAAAAAAAAAAAAAAACCAACCCTCGTCGTTAAAACGTCCCCCTCATCCCAAACCCTTTCATCGTCAAAACCGCTTTTCATTTCTATTCATCTTAAATCGTACCGCCTCACAATACCACAACACAATAACAACACAATCTCCTTTGAAAACGAAACAAGCCGCGCTATCCTGGCTCAACGACCTTGACTTCCCATTGCTCCAATCATAAAAAAGAGTTCGCTATAAATAAATCCGGATAAGGGCGATTACTCAAGTGTAAAGAGAAATAATAATAATTACGAAGAATAGAGGTGGTGCGGGTTTGGGGAGGGGTTAACCACTTGTTGTTAAAGATGAACAAAAAATCGGTGACGGTCAAAATGAAATTCGTCCAACCTAACATCCAAATCTGTTTTTGTTATAACTGACCGGTTAAGTTGTTGACAACTAAAAGCGGGATTGCCTTCACGTGATGCGTCATTACGCTCGGTCAGGGGAGAAAAAAAAAAGAATAATAAAAATAGAAAATATCAAATGCGCTTAAAACCGGAGTTAGCGGGAATTTCCGTTCGAACGCTCTAAATAGAATGAGCAGTCATTCACATGATTTTATAGCCCCGCTATATAAGTTGGGGTCTAGGTAGCGAGCGACTAATGAAGAGAAATTTTTCTTAAGATTCGCATCGACGTATTGAAGTTTTGTAACATATTTTTAAAAAATCGATACTGATATAAAGTATTTTTAAAAAAAAAAGTTCAGCACAGATATACAGTATATTAAAACATTGCCTACATTATCGAGAGAGTTTTGTATGGTGAATCTAACAGAACGGACGACATATATAAGTTTATGTAAGTATGTTTGAACACTATGTATTCGATTACCTCGCTTGTTTAATGAGCAGAGTTAGCCAGGCCGACACGTTATAGTAGCAAGTATCGATTCTTTAAGCCGAAATTCTGACCCTGACTTTAACTCCTGACGTAACTTCTACAACGGGTCGAACCCTAGTCTAATACTAGCTTAAATCCCAGTAATAGCCTTATCCGTAGTCATAGCCTCTTTCTCTACCATAATAGTTATAATTTATATAATCTTACCATTTTCTCAAGCCGTTGTCCTTGTATTCTCCTAACATTAACTTTAACCTTAGCCTAAACTGAACATTATTTTTTAATCGTGCAATAGCGCTTGCTAAACCATAGGTCTAGTCATAAATTTACTTAATAACCCTAAACCTAACGATTTTATCGGTCTGGTTTATTCCCGATATACGATTACATAGGTACGTCTAATCCTGAATTAGCGGCAGCAGATCTTCTGTATACAACACACTAACCCGGCACTTTTGTTTCGCTGCTTAATAAATTTTTTTCATAACCCCCCCCCCCCATAGACCCCTCGGTATATATATAAAAAGTATGAGGGGGGGGGGGTGCAAATCGAAAGTTTGAGGGGGGGGGGGAGGTGCAAATCGAA